TGAGGGGCGACCCCTCAACACGACCCGAGTCGGAACGGGGGGTTCATGTGGGAGGCACCCGACTCGGGGGCGGTGAAGGGAGCCCCGCGTGCTGCTGGCGCTCGCGCCCGCAGCGCACGCGGCGGCGTACGCCGCGGTGCGGCGGGAGCTCGTCGAGGCGGCGCTGGGCGTGACGGTGGAGGAGGCGGGGGCACTCCTCGCCGGGCGAGGCTCGCACGCCGCGCTGGCCGCGGCGCTCCGGCTGCCCCGGCACGTGGCGGGCGGTGCCCCGGCGCACGTGAGGTCGATCGCGGCGGCGCTCGGCGAGCTGCGCCGCCGCGTCGAGGCGGAGCTGCTCGGCCGCGGCTCCGTCGTCGAGGCCGCGCGCCGCGGGTCGTTTGCCGCCGCGCTCGCCGCGGCGGGCTCGCTCTCGAGGAGCGACGCGCTGCGGCTGCTCGCCGACCCGCCGCTGACGGGCGACGCGGAGGGCGGAGCCGCCGCGGCGGTGGAGGCGGCGCTCGCCGAGCTCGATGCCGCCGGGACGTGGCTCGGCGGCGGGCTGCGGCAGGAGCTGCGGCAGGCGCTGGCCGACCGCGCCGTCGAGGAGACCGGCCTCGAGGAACTCGCCGCGCTGCTCGAGAACACTGCCGTCAGCGGGGCGGCCAGCTTCGCCGTCGTCGACGCCGCGAGGGAGGCGCTCACAGACCCCGGCGCTTGGGCAGCCCAAATGATGAGGAAGGCCGCCGCGGGTGAGGGATGCCCGCCTGCCGCGGTGGCGGCGGCGGGGCGGGCTGCCGCCGCCGCGGCGCGCGGAGGGTCACCCAATCCGATGGCGGCGGGCCGGGCGGCGGCGGCCGCGGCGGCTGCGGCGGCGGCGGTGGAGGAGGCGGCGGAGGAGGCGGCGGAGGAGGCGGCGCTGAGGGAGGAGCCGCTGATCGCGGCGGGCGCAGCGGCGGGCGCCGCCGTGGCAGCAGGCCACGGCGTGGAGGTGGCAGCAGCAGCCGGCGCGGCGGCGGCGCGCGTCGCGCGGGAGGTGCTACGTCTCCTGTCCGTCGAGGCTGCGCAGGCCGGGGCCGAGGCGGCGGGAGCCGCCGCAGCCGCTGCCGGCGGCGCCGCGACCGACGGCGCCGCCGCTCGGCTGGCTGGCTTGCAGGCCGCGGTGCGGACCGAGGCTCTGATCGTCGCCCACGGCAGCTGCCTCGGTCACGCTGCTGCCGCCGCGGCGGGCGAGGCGGCGGCTGCTGCCCTGCAGCTCGCGCTGGAGGTGGCACTCGGCGAGGCGGTGCGGCAGGCGCTGGCCGCTGGAGAGGCTGCCGGCGCGTTGGCGCAGAGCGAGATCGGCGAGGAGGAGACGACGCGGCTGCAGCGCGAGCACGCGGCTGCAGACCAGCGGGTGGACATCGGCATCTACTTCAGAGCGGTGGAGCCCGGCGACAACCACCCAGACGAGGGCTTCTTCCCCGGCGCGCCGCTCGCGACTCGCAGCGTGGCGTATCACTGTGGGAATGGCGCAGGGTGGCGCTGGGGCGAGAAGACACGAGCCTGCCCGCGCCGCCTCGTGAATTCGCAGTACATCTCCGTCACACCCAACGCGCTCCGGGCACTGTGGATGCTGATGCGGCTCGCGAGGAGGTGGGGGCAGCGCGGCCGCTGGCTCTACCGGCTGGACCACCTGGACAAGATCCCTAACCTGAAGATCATCCACGCGCACAGCGACGAGGCGGCGCAGGAGGCGGGTCTGACGGGCGCTGCGCACGGCTACGCGACTCGGCTCGAGGAGGCGGTCTTCGTGTGCAACTCGGCCTCGCCGGAGGCGCGCAAGGCCTTCCATGTGCCGCCGGAGGCGTACGCGAAGGTGCGGCGCATGTACGTCGGGCTGCACGAGTTTTCCCTCCACCAGCGCACGCACCCGCACTTCATGCGCCCCTCATGGGAGTGGTTGGATGCGACCCCGCCCGCGCTGTTGCGGCGGGTGCAGGAGTTCGCGTCCCCTCAAATCGTCTAGTAGGTTGGTGTGTGTGTTTAATATTACCAGCGTTGGCTGTCTTAAATAGTACTGGATAAGTGAGTCCACATCGCAGTGCGTCGCAGTAGCAGCTGACGCGGCTGCCGCTGCAGCAGCAACACCGCAAATGGTTCTCAGAAGCCCCTGTGCAAGCCTCAGTGTGCGCCGTCGTCCGCGCCGTGGCCGCCGTCGCCAGAGGCGCGAACAGGCGGCGGCCAGCCCCACTCAGCCGGCGGGTCGCGCTGCCGCACCTGCACCGAGCAGCGGTACGGCTCCAGGTAGTCGAGCTCGTGCGGCAGCGCTGGGACCGGTGCCGGGGAGGCACGTGTGAGGCGTGGGGTGGGTGGGGGATCTGGGCTCGGCTGAAGAGCTAGTGAGGGCCGCAAACGCACCTCGCACCTCGTTGCCGCCGCCGCTGTTGACCGTCGCGTGCGGCAAGACGAAGTCGATGCCGTGTAGCGCGCCGTGTCGCGTTCCGCCGTTGAACAGGATCGCGTCGCCGCTCTCGAGCAGCTCCGACGTGTCGCCAGCAAAAAACTCGACCGACCGGCCAAAGGAGAAGATGGCCACCCAGTTTCCGCATCCCTGGCGGACGCCGCGGACTCGGAGAGTCACGGGGTGAGCGCACAGGCGCTAGGGCTTGTCTGGGAGCACGCACGTCTTTGTGGCGGCCGAGGGTGGCACCCGCAGGGTAGAGCAGCGTGGCCGAGCCCCCCCACTCCGTCTGCCGCCGCAGTGAGGCGATTGCCGCCGGATCGTTGCGAACCTCGGGGTGGTTCAGAGCAAGGCTCATCAGCCGCTCGGCCGCGATCTTCATGTCAATGGATGGGCCAACGCCAGAGTCGGCGTCGAGTTCGACGCGGCTGCGGTACCTGCTGCGCGTCCCCTCCGTCGCCTTGTGCACCGTCTCCTCGAGGCGCGTGATCTGTGCCATGCGCACGCCGCGGTCGCCGCCAAAGTTCTGAAAGGCGATCACAGGCGACTCGCCGAGGCGCATGACACGCACCTCCTCGACATTCGCACGCGACGCCCAAACCTCATCGCCAATGGCGGCGCGGGTCGACGTTGAAGCGGGCCGCGCTGGCTGCGGCGTCGGAGGCTGCAGCCGTTGCCGCCGCTCGCGCTCCCGTGCAAGCGTGCGGAGGTCGTCGTTGGTGATGCCCCGCTTGTTGCCGGCCGGAGCCGGGTCGTCCTGTGTCAGGTCGACGACCGAACTCGACATGAGACGGCGCGAACCCTCCTCACACCTCAGCACCGGCGGTGTTCGCTCGAGAGCGCGTCGCGCGCGCAAGCTGGGGAGGGGAAAAGAATTTTGTGCTCCGTGAGGTTACTGATGCACTCCAAGTCAGTGTGCCCGTGATAGTGAGAGACTGCCAGTGAGAAGCCGGAGGAAGGTCGCTAGTCGAGAGAGATCGCCAGTGGAATAGGGAGTCCACCGTGCTGCGAACCTGTCGCTGTCCCTTTTGTCAGGAGCCAGGAGAACTAGGAGAGCGCAACCAGTAGGAGGCCCGCGCCTGCCCCCGTGCCGCCGGGTGCAACTTTGTCCTATACGAGAGGGGAATCCCTGGGACCCTGTCGTGTGTGGGTGAACCCTGCCCAGCCCCCCTCCGTGTCGCGATGCGCTCCCCGCTCCCGTTCCCCTGTGTCCCTGATTGTCCTTACAAGATCACTGCTCGCGCAGGTGGGGACCCTGTCCTTCTCCCACCCCTTGTTTGGTGGGTCCGTTTTATTTATTTATTTATTTGCACTCCAAGTGCTCCAAGTACAACCAAACTCCCTCGCACGACACTAGGCACGGGACCGTGAGGGGAAAAGAAAACTCGGCATATCGAGCTCCTCGCCGAGGAGCCCATCCCTCCCTTGGGTTGTCCGTTTTCTTTCTTTCTTGAGGAGCACCTCGAGCTTGCGGTTGAGGAGGACAAGGCGTTGGCAACCCGGTTTGCCCACCACGCAAACCGACGGTTCTCGGACAAGGTGGCGCGGGGCACCAACGATGTGATGGGCGCTACTATGAAAAAATGGATCATTTTAAGAAGGAAATAGTAGGAACGAGAAGGTTGGTGTGGGAGATATGCATATATGTGTGAAAAATTAATTTTTTTTGTAAAATACGCCCTTTATAGGCGGGTGCGACGCCAGCATCTCTCATCTCGAGCATTGCTGTCCGTATGGTCTAGTTGGTCATGACGTCTGCCCAACATGCAGAAGGTCCCCCTTTGATCAAGGCGCCGGCACGCATGCAGCTGCAGGCCAGAGGGCGTGAGATGAGGCCGAATCCGCAGTCGCACGAGCACTATCGCGCCCGGCGATGATGGCTTAATACGGCGCTGCACGGCAGATAGGCCCGCCTGCGAGCGTGGGATAGAGTCGCGGGGCGTGAGGTCTCAGTATATCGCAGGCTAGGAGATGATACGGCGGCGGGGGAGGGAGGGAGGCGTGAGCGGCGGCGATGAGATTCCACATATATCTCGCTAAATCGGCCTGGTCCCCTCCCGGGGGTCCGGGCGAGCCTAGGGCGAGCACGCACCTCGCGTCCGAGCGCGAGTCGACGAGCAGGAGCCGAGAGATGGCCGAACCACGGCTCGAGCGCGCGCACGTACAGCGCAGCTGCGGTTCGTAACTCGACTGCCGGTCGTGCGTGCGGGATCTGAATGGAGCTCGCTGGCGCCAGTGCGCGGCAGCGCCGCCTAGTGGATTGGCGGGAAGGATGGAAAGGGCAGGCGTTGGGCAGGTTTGAGGACGCATGCGAGTAGAGATAGGCTCAGGCGCATGACGTACGTAGCGGGTACACCGCGCGCGTGTATGTGTATGTATGTGTGTCCCTGTCTCTTATTTGTCTAACCCTTTTGCTTCATCGTGGTCATGGTGACCAAATCTCGATATATCTCCAGTCGTAGCGGTGGAACTTTAAAACGGCTCGGTAAATATTTAGCCATATATGAGAGGATTACGCCACAGTGTCGTTTGAGTCGACAGTAAATCTCCCACAGCCCACGTAAATCCGTCTTTTTCAGGCACCCGGAGCCCGCCGCGGCCGCTTCTACGCCGGCGAAGCACCATCAAGCTGCTGTACGGCCCCGGCATCGCCTCCCCTGGCTTAGCTCTCAGTCAAGATATTGTGCACATGGGTAGCCTCTACAATATACTCACTGACACTGAACCTCCCAGAGCTCGTCCCGGTCCGTCACGGCCATCCTCGTCCTCCGGCGGGCCCCCGGCTGCGGCGCGGTGCGGCGGCGTCACAAATCCGACCACAGAGCACCGGGACGCGGTCGGGCGATCTGAGGCCCAAGTAGGCGAATGCATTGCCCATCCAGGGCTATCACCTGGACCTATCAACAGGCGCCTGCGGTGCCGTGCTCAGGAGTTGGTTTTCACTCGCTCGAAATGTGTACGTAAAAGGGCTAAGGTCTGTCTCTGTACTCTGTTTGAGGTGGTCTCTCAGTGAGAGTCTATCTGAGCTGTCGCTCGGGTTGTTGCCTTAACTAGATAACATTCCCATATTCTTTAATAGCGGCTAGTTTGTCACATCACGTGGATAGATGCTTCATTGGAAAGCGCCGTGTTTTCCTCAAGTCATTATCTTGGACGCATCCCTCGTCGCGAAGTGGCGAAGAGCCATGCAGTCACCCGAATTGCTTGGACCTCTCCTGCAAGTAGAACGAAACATTCTTGGAGCTTCCCCCTCCATGCATGGCCGCATCTTATCCGTGGCGACGCGCCGAGCCACCGAGCCGTACTCGGCCGCGCCGCCGCGTCGAGGCACGGGTCCCCAGCCAAGCAGCGACGCCGAAGCGTCGACCGATAGAGCGCCACGCCCAGCAGTATGGGCGTCGACCGCTCTCTCGAGCGGCCGCGTGGCAGTGCGTGGCGCGGGCGCCACGGGCGGCAAGCGTGGAGCCGCTGGAAGAGCCGGTGCGAGCCGTGGACGGCAGCCGCTCCCCACGTCGCCGAGAGAGGCTGCGGGAGAGGGTTCAGGAGGCCACCGGAGGCGCCGGGAGGCTCGGGAGGCGCTAAAAAGTGGCCCGGGTGCCTCGTGCCACCCATCTGGTGGGGCAAGGTGGGCTCAGGAATTAATCCAGGATTTTAAGGTGACGTCCACTACGCCTGACCGAGAACTGGATGGCGGACGAGTCGCGCACATGGTTTGGGACTGAGCAATGGCAGAAGCCTTTAAACTGCAAACGAGGACGCCCCGCGAGGCCCCGTCGGCCGGGAGTGGTGAGTGGGTGGTTCGAGGACCACAAACAAGCACACCATATCCCCCACCGCGGCCAGCCCCCAACCGCTGCCAGACCGGCCCTCGTGCTGGTCACGCCGGCCAGGAGGCTGCTGCCGGGGGGCCCAAACAGTCCCTCACGAATGCCACACAGGCCACCACGGCCCGTCCTGGCGGCCCGAGTGCCGCCCCGCACCCGCCCGACGCCCTCGGCCAGCCAGCGCCCACTCTGGGTACTCGGAGGATTCACCGCCGCCAGCGCGCCGAGCGCGCCGCCCTCTCCGCGCGCCGCACGGGATCCGGGCCGCACGCCCGAGAGGCAGCCCATAATTCGAGTCGAGACGCGCCGCCGGCCGGCCAGCAGCTCGCCCGCCACCCGCAGAGCGCGGCCGCCGCCCCCAGCCCGCACTGGAGAGGCTCTCCCGGCCGCTCGCCGCTGTCGCGTCGCCCGGCGGCTGAGCTGGCAGCGGCGCTCGCGACGGAGACGCCAAGTTTCCCCGAGAGGAGCACGGCCAAAGGTCTGAGCCGGGGGGAGGGCGGTGGGGAGGTGCGTGGGGGCGCGGAGGCAGCGTACGGGGACGCGCGGAGGGCGGTGGTGGTGTGTGGGAGGTGGGCGAGGGAGAGCTGAGGCGGCCGGCGGTGGTGGCGGGAGCAGCGGAGGCGTCTGAATTCGGACGCCTGTGCTACCCTTCACACACGCTACACACGGTGTACTAGCACGGCGCATCCTGCGCCGTGCCCCATGAATGTCGATACTCCAGCATCACACCCTCTGTGCCAC